ACCGCACCGCACCTCTACACCGCACACATCAGAGAAGAGATGCCTCTCTGACTAGATGCTTCCTTCTGTGGACAAGTGCGATGCTATAAACATATTCACAGTAAGAAGTTTGCATCCCCCCCCTCTTGATTGTCTGCTTCAGAAAGAAATATGCATCTACAAACCTCGCTCACCAATCAAAGCGTGTGGCGCGCTCTGACTGCCAAGCCAACTCTCGGCCAGCAGATCACCCGTCTGACGATCAAGCAAACTTCAGAAGATCTTCAAGAAAGACCAGTGCCCGACGATGTCATTCCAGAGGCGCTGGAGGCTGCTGTTGGTGCGCTAGCCTCTACTCCTGTTCCTGATGTTGATGTTGACGTCGCAAGCTCAGCCTCGATCGAGGAGCAGAAGCTGGCTCGAGCAGTGAGCGCAGAAGAGAGCCTACTCGAAGCAATGCAGGCAATGAGTCAGTTGCGCGAATTTTCATGGTCGACACATCGTGAGTCCCGAGTGTCCAGCGAGAACACTTGCCGCGGTAAACGACTTCTCCCCCCCATCGTCTTGCAGAGCAACACGACAGTTGCTGACGCGCTCCTCCTTGTGCAGCACCCGTGCTGTCGCTCCCTGTGCGCGCTTCCAAAAGCGGCACGGACGTCTGGCAGACACTCTGTCGAGTGTCAGCATCCACTTTGGAGAGATTGATAGTGCTTGATGCCGCCGAGTTTCCCGCGCTACGGGGCCTGGATGAGACGACTGCAAAACTTTCAAAAGAGCAGGGCGAGGCTGCCGATCCGCTCTTTGAGAAGAGATCGTCGGTTCACGACGGCTCAGTGCGTAGGTGTATCGGTGCACTGAGACCAGCTCTATGGGTACTTTGGCTAATGAATACTCTGCTTGGGTCATTCGTACAGCTCTTTGACCAATCTTTTCCGCAACTCAAGACCTTTGAATACACTTGTAAGCGTGTCCCTCAAGATCCATATCGGGCTTTGCAGGTGCTGGATTAACCCGATCACCTTCTCCAGGCTATTCCTTCAAGCATGGCACCGTCGATCCGCCGACGGGGCGTCTTGCCAATTTCCTGAGCGGCAGCACACAGCTTGAGGTATGCCTGCCAATCTCAACATCCCTCGCAGCTGGCTACATCATCAGCCTCACGTACCCTCCATCCCACCACTTTTGCTTTCTCCCCCCCACCCCACACAGACCCTCGAGCTGCACTTTTTCTTGCACGGCGCGCGCTTTTCAGCTCCTTGCCCGGCCTGGTCCGCAGATATCGGACCGGTATTGTCGCTCGACTTTGCCAAGCTCAAGATTCTGCGCGTCACAGACTCACGCGCTTCCGCCAAGAGCCTCGCAGCTTTCCTCATCAAGCACGAAGCGTCTTTGGAGGTCATCGGCTCACAAAGTCTCAGCGTTGAGAGCACAAGTGAGGATGAACTTGGCCAAGGTGAATTGTCGCAATGGCACCGTAGGGGCAATCTGCAGAGCTGGACCGTCGAGGGCGTTGCAGGCCCTGCCCTGCGCGGCCTGAGCAAGTAGCCTGTGAACAAGATTTGCCTCTCAGCAGCAATGGTGAATTGTGAATCGTGAATGTGAAGGTGAATCTCAATGTTCATCGCTCTCAAATGCCTGCCTGCCTGCTCGTCTCGACGACGTCAAGAGTCGTGAGTGAGGGCATTCGCGATGCTTGATTGACTGTGACTGCAGAGCACACCGAGCGCGCACGCCATGCACGTACGCCATGCAGCCAGCATGCCGCTCAAACAATCTTGAATCACAATCTGAATCACAATGGTGAATCATGCCAACCAATTGTTGCTCAAGCAGCAGTAGTCATGCTGCTGCTGCTGCTGCTGCTGCCGCCGCTCATGCTGCCGCTGCATGACTGTGACTGGATGGTGTGCTCTCGCGCCGAGTTGCACTTTGGCGCGCTGGCGGAGCTTGAGAGCTCGTCCAGCAGGCATCTCACCGCAAGGCAAAGTCACCGAGGGACCGAGCTGCGCCTTGACTTTAGCTTCGGCTTGGCTTGGCTTGACCATCTCATCCGCCCATCTCTCCTTCGTGTTTTGCATCCCCATGCAGTCTCCGTCTCAAGTATCAGTCCGTGTCCCCTTTCTCATCCTTCAAATCACTCAGTCTCTTCATACACGAAAACACGGCACTCGTACGCACACCTAGATCGGTGTACTCTACTTTCCCTCCGTGCACTGTACTGCCCCCCCC